ATGTTACATCGTGTAGCATAGCTCTCAACAAGAGCGTCATAACCATAACCAATGGTTATGACACTAGACCACAGAGGCTTCATGGTTAAACAGATTAAAAATACCGCCAGGTACACTCTATTACCCAAAGGGCGCACGGCTGGAATGAAATAGTAGTTAACACTGTCAAAGTATATATAAGTCATCAAAGAAAGGTAAGTACATATAATATATACATACATTTATATTATTATATCTTCATACATATATATATATATATATGTATATATATATATATATATATATATATTATATATATATATATATATTCACATTCGAGGTTCTAACTAAAAGCCGAGTGAAAAGTTGGTTAAGGTACCTGGGATAAAGCAAGAGACAGGGGTTCAAATCCAGATTAAGGTAATTGTTTTTACACGTGTAGACTCTTCTTTACAATTTATATACTTATATAATATAATTTATTTTTATTTTGTATATGGCCTATACATATCTGTTTCGGGTTGTTTTTTGTTTTTTTGTTAATTAGTTGGTTTTTTTTTTCTTTTTTTTTTGGTTTTGGCTGACATTTTATTAAAATCCTTGACAACTAATCGCTGGTACTGTCAAGACATCGTATAATTGACAATACTAGTATTTCTTGCTGTTTAATATCCACAGGTATCCAGAGACAAAGCGTACAAAAACCTTTTATTACAAACCTTCTGTTTAATGACGTCATCCATACGTGTCCGTATGGGAACTAATCAGAAGACAGAAGAATAGACAGAGATGCATCGAATCTGATCAATTATTGCAAATATCAACTCTCGTGAGCACGCTTTGGAATAGATTCCGCTTCGTGTCTGTGCCATAGCCGAAACTTTGCTCTCAGGGATATATTGTGTGGTTGCTCATGATCTGAGACACTCGCCCATTGATTTTGGTTGTAATTGCCTGCCCGCCTGGGGTGAGATTTTATTGAAGGAAGGGGCAGCGGTGTCGGAGACGACGATGCTATCAGCTTTAGTTTTTTTAGCTGTAGCATCCACAAGTTTTACAGAAGTAACCACCCTTTTAGACCATGCACCTGAGGAAGTGGAGTTCACTAATGAGTTTGCAGTACAGGTCCATGGTGGCCCAGAGGTGGTCAGGAATATTGCCCGAGACCTAGGCTATGACATGATTGGAAAGGTAATATAATTATAATATTAATGTAAAAGCCTATACTCTTTGATAGGCCTATATCTAATCTTCATTAGCGTAGCACGATATCAGACGGTATTTCAGTATCCTACCCATCTCTACCTCAGCCACATGCATGCTATATCTTATACAGAAATAAATATAGGAATCTTCGCCTTCATTTTGCCAATATGTTGTCTTTGATTACGTATTCACTATTCACCTGGCATTCTATTAATTATTATTATTCACAAACATATTTTTAGTGCGTGTTATTTGAAGAACAGTAGTAGTCCAAAAAAAATTTACCGATAATCCGAGTTCCACATACTTTATCAACATCACATATTTTTCCGCATTATGTACTCTCCGAACGAAAATATTGAATTATTTTTTAACTGAGCGCGGATACCGTCGTGCTTTATTTAACAGCAGTAATTCCGATGTAGCGACAGGTTGACGATAAATTTATTGTAAATCCAATATAGAATACATTATCAGACTAATTTGATCATAATATAAGTTATCCAAAATAGAAGGCTTACGTATTGATTTAGCTAGATAAATATGTTTATATAATTTATATATATATATACAAATTATTATTATTATTATTAATTATTATTATTATTATTTATTATTATTATTATTATTTTAATATTAAACTATTGTTAGTTATAGAAAATATATGGTAAAATAAACTAAGAACAAATAGTATTGCCACAATTTGTATAATTACAATTTTATTCGAATACATAAAAATAGTAGACATTAACAATTCAAGTTGGGGTTTTAAAGTATTTTAGTGTATATATACTCGCAGTTAAGTCTGTCTTTGGTAATGCGTCTCCAAATAAATCAGGCTTGTTGTCCCTCACACTGTCAGTGGTTTTTGGTTGGCGTTGGACTACATCCATTGAAAGGCGCCCACCTCCTCACTGACTGCTGGATTTTAGTTCTCCATGAACGTAATTGGGGCGAAGATGCAACTATTGATTCAGCACTATGTATAGTATTATCTGCTCGCCTCAACACCATCTGAACTCCAATCATTTTACTAAATACGCCGTCAGTAAAACATGGTTATCTTTGAGGAGTTTGTGAGATTGGTAAAACTGCAGCTTTATTTGATTGTTAGGTCTATGCTAAGACAATGGGGTTTTTTTTCCACTTTCATATCTGATGAATTTTGCTAGTAAGTGTTGTTTCCAGAAAAATGAAATTGTCTGTTTGACGGACACACTACTCTCCAATTCAATGGCGGATTAAAGGGGGGAGGGACTACCCCACCCAACTCATTTAGGTCTAAGAGTGCCATTTCCGGCCATAATCATAACTGTTCTTACCTCAGCCCCCAACTGTGGTAGGGCTGAGCTGGGTGGCGCCAGCGGGAGAGAGGGCCGGGGACCAGGGCTTCCCGCCTGGAGAAAAAAAAATTATATGTTTGTACATATTAGTAGACTCTAAAATCGATTAAATAAGCACCCCTGGTTCTAAGGTGGTCTAAACTCATTTGTATAAGTCACGCGCTGGTCTCCCTCTATTTCGAATTCCTGGATCCGCCACTGCAATTTTGTTAGTGGTTTAGGAACACCCATTCTAGATAGAATTGGTCAAAATAGAACTACATAAGACTTGTCAATGTTAAAGACACTCATTCTCATGCTACACTCATTCACATGCTGTGTATGATTTTTGAGATGAGCTAAGAACAAGAGCTTCCTACCAGGGGCGGCTCTAGGATATAAGTTATTGGGGGGAGGGTGGCTAAGATGTCCGACTGTGGGGGGCGCTAAGTATTCATGGGTGTAACTATAGCGCGCAGCGTTATCTGAGGGCCGAAAACCCGAGCCGGGTGTGGGTATGGGAGAGGGTGTCCCCTACTCCCAAAACAAGATTTTTTTTAAATTGGGACTTCTAGATGTTCTGCTTGACTGATCAGACCCAGACGAAGCAATTGTTGAGCTAAGACACTCGTTCTGTAACAAAATAGCAAAACCTTGCACAATCGTTCTTTCAGTTGTTCAGTACTGGCTAGATGTATCCTATATTTATATGAAAATAATGGTGCTGGATTTTTATGATTTTATAAGAATATCAAGCAAAACTCTTTAACAACAGTATACATTTCCAGTTGTTGAAATCTAGGGAGACTCCAACGTACAACATATCGCTATAGATGAATGTCATATCGCTAGACCAAAGAAAGCATATGGTATTAGTGCACATTTAACCCCAATATACATTCTTTTATACATCTCCTGTCTGCATTCATACATTGTGCCCAGCTTACAATTTTACGTTATAATGACTTTGGTGTGCAAAACGTTTTTGTAGAACCATAATTTACGTATTCATTTCTGACTAAACGTTGTGTTAACTTTATCTTCTTCGCGCAGAACCTAAAATCAGAACGTTCGCAACGTTGACGAATGTTAATAACGTATTTGCTGGGTATTATGGTTAAGGTATGAAAAAAAAACTTTAGGTCGCAGCTGGGAAATCATCGATCTCGTAACTTATATTCAAATACTGTAAATACAATATAAACGAATAGATAAAATGATAATTACAGAGCTCGTATATCGGAACACTTGATGTTTTCTTCGTATCAAGCATAACAGTGCTCTTCACTAAAGTGAATGTAATCACTTGTGTATTCGTTTTGAAATCCAAATCATTGATCACTCATTCTTGTTCATTGACGTTCTTTGAAAATCTCCCGTAATTATGAATTTTCTTTTCTCTAAAGATAAATTCATTAGAATCTGAGACGTACGTGTCCTTGTGAGAATTTCCCCGTGTGATTTCAGTACAATGCATTTCTTCAAATCAATTTACCTTCTGCGGATTGTATTTGACTGATGTGCAACCATGTAAGCCTAAGCAAATAAGCTCTTTGCCAGTAAATAAAAATTAGAAAACTATAAAATAAATTTATTGCAATATTGTTCAAGCCTTGTCTAATAACTTTATTGCCATATACATCATGACCATTATTTATCAATTTTTACATTGTTATACCGGATCCCCCAGGACCAAGCCTGTCACCAACATCATATCTACGTAACTGTATTGGTTACGCATTTCCCAAGTAACTTTCAAATAGGTATTACAACCCGTTTACGTAATAGATTATGTGGGACCGCATGTACTCATGTATTTGAGCACTCTGTTGCTAAATGAATGGATAAGGATGTTTAAATTTTAACATTATTTGTAGGATTAATCCGGGAATAAAATATAATAATATGAACCAACTTCATCACTGCTACTTTAAAATACCGTTAAATTTGAAGTAATTATTAATTAATTTAACAGGTAAAAATATCGCTTTAGAAAGCTTCGAGGCACTTTTTACAAAAATCATCATCATTAAAAGTTTCGTGTTAGTCAAGTCAATCATGATACTTTGAACAAACTTGGAAAAATTGACTCAAAGGAATACATTGCAGTTAACACCTAAAAAATAATAATGTAATGTAATTTGTAAGTCTAATTTTACTCGGCACAATGGAATGAGTAAATACCGGTAGCTACCGCAACAGGCGGCCACAAGATTTCTCCAAGAATATGTATTATTATATACAATATGCCTAGAATATCAATTAAATTTTATAATACGTACATTATGAATTAAGGCTTATCGTTTATATATTGTCTGTTTGTATAATAATAAATAACGCTGTGATTTATACCAAATCATATGTGTCATTAGAATAATCGTTTAACAATAATATATTAATATTTTAATAATAATAATGATGATGATGATGATTATAATAATAAATAATAATGATAATAATAATAATAGTAGCAATAATAATAAAAAATAATTATGACGATGATAGTAATAAAAATAATAATAATGATAATAATGATAAATATTTACAATTGATTACAATGATAGGTGGTTTATCCAGAATACACTCAAATGCACATTTAAGTTTAATATATTAGTCCAAGAATAATTGTCATGAACTTGAAAGTCTCTTTCACGAGGCTGGTGTAGAGCAGTTTCAGCCTAAGGCTAAGCTTAGATACAGTAATCCTCGAATTATTACCATTTAACGATGATGAATAACGGCGATTTTTTTTAACTCCAGGCTAAATTTAAACGAGTTTCTTTAGTATAGTACTCTATCACACTTTATCATAAACTAACGATGGGGATGACAGTAGACTTTCTATATAAAACATGGTTATCTGTTAACCATTTAAAGTAAATACAGTACTGGGGGAATTTAAATATTTTAAGAGTTTATACTGCAACATAACATAATCCTAACATAACCAGCCATACAGTTTGATTAGCCCGACGTATATAGTAACCACACAATTTTTTTGAATACGCTCGAATACTTTCGACTAATACGTCCATTAAGTTTTCATTGGTAGGGGTTTAGTTCCACATTCTCAATTTTCGTAACACCCCCCCCCACCCCGGTTCCGCATTTTCAATTTCTGCACCCTCCTGGATGAGATCAGCCTGCGCATAATGTATGCATAAATTATACTATACTATGACCAAGGCAATTCAACAGGTAAAATCACAAAAAAAAAGTCATAGATCTGAATTTGAACTCGGGTCTCAATGTCACATACTCTTAACCAGCACGAGACCGATTGTGCTTCTTGGCAAATTTGATTCCGATCGGAAACAACTTATTTTTAAATTATTATATTTACAGAGGGTGACTCTTTCAGTTTATCATCGACTGATACTTAGGGGCTCTCTTAATTAACTAATACAATATGATGCTTTATAGACTGGGCCTATATCCCATTATGAGGCAGAGAATAGAGATATTTCAGATTTCTGTTGGCGCAGGATTTGAACCCGGACCTTAGGATTGAAAGGCAATCATCTTAAGCATAAACCTACTATTCCGCTATTAACAAATGTAGCAAGTTGGCTTTTCAGGATCTCATCCTACACGACTTTGCGCGCATACTCAAAAACGTTTTTTTTTATATTTTTTAAAATATAGGCCTACGTACAGTACTTGCACTCAATAGAAAATGATCACATATTAAACGCGTCAATTATGTGCTGTAAACAATTCCCAATCGTACAGGGTATGCATTTCAATTAAAGTAGATACGTATGAGAAATCCGTGCGTTTTGATCTTGAGGTAAATGTTAATTCTTTTCTATCGTGAATGCTTTAATCTCATATCACTGCAATCGTTATTAACAGGTAAACATACACTATTAATTTATTATCTATTTAAAGTGAATCTTTCATGACTGAGTTTATTCTAATTATTTTATCGCTTTCGTGCCTGTTGAAAATATTTTATTGCGTTAGTGCCGGTATTAATATTGTGGCAAATATGCCGCACGTAATATAATCTTACGCACTCGCTCACCGGTCTGTGCGAGTGAACACTGTGCAATATGAATTATAGGTCACCGCATTTAACAATCACTCTCCGTTCGTCAGATTTGGATTGCCTAGCCTTTATGTTGTGCAATCATGTTCTAGTTCATCGGTAATTACAAAGTCAGATAGATAGATAGTCATAAAATAAAATGATCTCCAGCGTAGTATTACGATGTATCCTTCGCACTTGTATGAATTGACACAGGGATCGGAACGACTTTGTTCCGTGAATAATTATTAAGCAGTACAGACATTCCACCACTGCACTAAGTGATGCATATTGATATTGTACTGTCGAAAGGCAGGTGATGTGAGATTGTTTGTTTCTCACTTTGGTGTTAATCGTATTTTAAGTAGCACGATCCAATAATGATGAAAGGTGTGCCATAAATTGTGTTGAATGCGGTATTAAGAAGCCTATTTTTCAAGGGTAGACCTGCCAGGTCTTCACGAATCTGTCACTTAAGAAGCAGGACACACGGATCAATGCATGACCAAGCTTAATCATATTGAAACATGAGAGAACGAAATATGTATTTATTTATTTCACTCGACAATAACAATTACTAATTATCATGAATGTCTGTAAATTCATTTTTAGTCATTAAAAACTACCTAATCTATATTTTTGAATTTGTCTAATAATTGATAGGGAGTTGGTTGCTTGACAAAATTAATGACCGCAAACTTACCACAACAAAATTATAATAGGCTAATTAACAATTACAACAACAAAAACAACAGTGACAATAAATGGTAATATCAATAATGATAATAATAATAATAATTTTGATAATAATAGCCTAAATATAATATCACAATCATATTAGGAATAATAATAATACTCAATTAAGAACAATTGTAATCACATATTTGAAATAGTACAGTAGGCCTAAGTCTCAACAGTTTTGATTTAGGTCTAATGTTTTCATATCCCGCAATAGGCTAAAAGATCAATTTTATGTAATGTAAAAAATACAGCGCAAAAAGAACCTGGGCTGGCTCAAATTATTGTACAGTCGTACTAATACGGCATCGAGTACCGTTCCGGTAGAGACAGACACGCTATCGTGTTGGAATTAAATATTGCAGCTCATTAACAGTTTGCCTGTATATACTAAAAATAAATAATTGAGTAGGAAACATCACTGTCGATCGCTTTAATTATGATCTGGAAACGGTTTTAGTTACAATTCCTTAATCCATCGTGAATTAGGTAATATTATAACTATAAGCTAAATTCACAAACAAGACATACTGTCATTTTGCATTTTAAGAAATGTGAGAACATAGTTGGTTATTGGCGAATGGCGCCTAAGGAAAATTAATTACAGTCTGCTATAGAATAATGTGAATGTTTCTATTACTGAAACAGTATTCTTAACATTGTAATTGCCAATTTAATTTGTGGTATTTAATGTGTTTGCATAAGGAAATTTGAACGTTATATAGATTTATATAGAATTTCTTGTCTGGTTCAATTTGGTAGCGCTTCAATTCACTATATATACTGCGTTAAAATTAGGTTTGAATTCTGCGTAACCATCATTGGTGAAATCATAGATGAACTGCAAAAGCCCAGTGACTTTAGAAACTACAAAACAAAATTGGACGTTGTTGCATTTTATGAACTTGTATATGTGAAATAGTGGTGTTCTGAGCTCCATGATTTCTGGTGCTGCCGCCCGGCTGCGTTTCTTAAAAAAACTCTTCATTAAATTAAACAACGTCCTCAACAAGTCGGACAGATCCCATATCATACACACTTAGACCTCAACTTTTAGTCCTCTCCTTCGATGTCTGTGTCTGTTACAAAATATGGTAGCTTCATTTCACGAGCTGTAGACTGGGGGCTTACGGGGTATGGATAGATGGGGTAAGGATACAAATATTAGTCTTTTACACAAGCAATACGGTTCTAAATTTTGATTTTTTTTTTAAACCATGAATTAACTTTTTATGCATTGTGTAGGTGAACTTGAACTTTGAACAGATCTAGTATGGAACCACTAACTACCGTATTTTGACTTCATACGAACATGACGGATCAATATCTGAGCAGCAATCGCTAGTAGAACAGCTTTTAGCTCAGTCGGCTAATCCGATGGCGGTAGTCACTGTGTTTTGCACTGAACAGCGGAGATCTCTTGGTCCCCGGTTCAATTCCCGTCGCTGCTCTTCGTATTCCAGCTAGAGGACTGAAATACAAGTTATGATAGCGCATTGTTTTTCGGATGAGACGTTTAAGCCGTTGTGTGCATTATGGCTCATATGCACGTTAAAGAATGCAGTACGGTACACTCTTCGGAAAAGAGTAGGGGATTGTCTCCGGTGTACTCATGCCTAATCACCACTAGAAGAACTCCACTGGAAATAAGTCTTATTCAAACTTTTGTGGGTTATCCTTGGTGTTTACACCGAATAAATCCAATCCAATCATTCATCCATACATTTCATTATGCATTCATTGATATTTTTTTATTCATTTTGAAAGTACAGTATATGCCAGCTAACAATTTGACGTTAAAATATTTTCTGACATAACGTTAACTACAGCTTTTACAACGTTTCGTATAATAAAGTTGTGTGTTTGCCATATTTCTGTTTTGTTGAGTAAGACTGAGTAAGGATGTACCATAATATATTGTCTCTCCATTGCAATATGACTAATTGTGTTTATTCATAGCTTAATATGAATTTCGAACTCTGCGTAATCTGAATTTGTTTTGGTAGATTGGTGACTTGGATGACTATTACCTGCTACAACATCACGAAATCCCAAGTAGATCCATTAGATCAGCTTTCCACGTCACAAAACGTCTAGCAGACGACGATAGGGTAAGATTCCGAAGAATATCAAACTCTCCATTTTTCGTTCTGATGAAATAACAAATCAACCTGCTCCAAAATTAGTTTGCACTCTCTAACACTAATTTTTAGAAATTAAAATTAATCATTTTGCCTACTGATAAATATGATCCGATGTTTTATTCTGGAGTGACGAAGAGTGAAGCCTAATAAATATGCACGCGTCCGCGGACAGTTTTATTGCACGGGCGACCGTGATGTTATCTCGTTAAAAAAAAAATAATAAATAAATAAAATTTTAAATACCGCCTGTTGTAAAGTAAGAAAAAATCAATTAAAACATTGAATTTGCTGAGTTATAAGAAGCAAGGTTGTTGTCCAAGCATCAACAATATATTAACAATTATTATCAACGCATGCACAATATCTTTAAGAAAGTATTTACTGCAAAAAGATGAGCGTCCAGTTGCTGTGTTAACAACGCAACTCAGTGATATTTCTGTAGTAAAATTATTAGTTTCACTGGGTAACACATGTTCCTTCCGTAGGTCAATTGGTTTGAGCAACAGCGTAGCATTGTCCGCCAAAAGAGGGACTACGTATCGGGGCCCGCCCAGATGTTTAACGATGAATA